ACTAAATTCAAGTTAAAAACTACATTTATATTGAATGCATATCTGCGTTTATTGAAAAATTTAAACTTTCTTAATTATCTAATGGTTAGTATAAGCCCATAATCTTTGAGCTCCCATCTTAGCCCCAGGAGTGACAAGATTTGTGGATGTCGGTCATGGTTTGCTATTGTGGAGAGCCTTTATCTGGAATCATCGGCAGCAGTAAATGCCTTTTTCATTAGTTTCAGTATTTGTCTTTTCTGTACAAAGAACAACATTATTGTGACACCAGTCATAAAACTCAAATTCTCAACATCAACTGGGCAAGGAGAGGTATTGTGCTAAGATCTGACAGAATCCAGCAATATTTATATTGTTACACAAGTAGGCTTATCTAGTCATTCTGTCTTATTCATGGACAAGAATTGAATAATGTTTCCCTTTGTGCTGTTGACTGAGAGAGCCTCAACACTGAGCATGCATGCAGTACGGATTTCCAGGCTGTGTGTACCGACAGAGGCATCAATGTTAATGCTTAGTGAATGTAAACCACATGCATCATACTGCATGATACTTATAATAAACGCTGTCACTGAATGTAGTTTTTTTCATGCTCTGGGGTGATAGGGAGTGAAAGGGTTCAAAGCCACATCGTTTGCATACACAAACCTTTCCTTCTCTCCTAATACAAGGAAGATTTAAAGACTGAAATTTTCAGATGTGTGCCACTGCTCTTCAGTAGCTGAAGGCTGTGCTGTGACTCACCATGTTTACCATCTGTAAATGGATACTGTACTTGCCTGATTTTATGGCCAAGAAGTTTATTTTTTTGGCATACAGCATTTTTACAAACAGGTTATTAGGATGCGGTGCAAGAAGATAATTGACTCAAACATTAGTTCTTTATGACTTAGTCTGTATGTGTATCATGTGTGCAATTTTTTTTTCAGTTCATACCGGGGAAATCATTGAAGCCACGAGCTTGATAGTCGCCATACATGGGCTTTGAAACAGCACAGAGGATGGTAAAGAACTGTGGTGTGGTGGCTTCCTTCGAATGAGGATTTTGTTGACTTGCCAGCCACTTGCATGCCAGGTCAGTCTTAATACAATTTATCTTTACCTACTGGAATTCTGCGACCTTATGAGATTTCTTATCCAAAACAGCTTAGCTCATGCACAGATCTCTAATTCACTCATGCATCTAAGGGTTAAGATCTCTACTGGCATTGCATGTTCAAAGCTGTGGCTTTCTCAGAGGAGCCTCTATGTCTGTCATGCAGCCCCAGAGGTAACATTATTGTGATGTTATCACGTCATAAGACAGTGCATAAAAATAGGATTTGTTTGAAAATGTGGTTTGTGTAACTTAAGGTGAAATGTGACCCCTGAGCTACCAGAGGAATGAAGAAGTCATTAGGATTCTCTTGGAGGGAAAAAGAGATCAGTACGCAGACTGTATTTTCATAAACCAGCATTATACTGTAGTTAAAAATATTTCGGTCAGTCTTTCTTATAAGCAAGGAACCACTATAACAATGTCTCTATTAGAATACTGTATGTGTAACATAAATCATAATGTTTGTTCATAGATTGTGGGTCCGGCAGACCTATTTGTTTCAGTTTGGCAAAAATAAAGGAAAATACACTTGTGAGGTACTGACTGCTGTAAACCAATGAGAGATGACGATGAGATGAAGGAAAGTTGGATACTAGCTAAAAACAATGACTGTGGATCAAACGTTAATGAGCTCTGTTGCAAAAAAGATATGAAGAAATTTGCAACACTGAAAATAGTGGCGGCTGTATAACCTGTTACACTTTTCACAGTGTAGTCAAGCCGAAAAGTATGCAGCTTACTGACCACAGAGAACAGATATGTCTGTTACATCACTTCCTCTGTCTAGACTCAAGTATGTCCCTCTTTTATCTTAGTCAGAAACTTTATTGTAATCATTTTGAATGATGCACAATAGAGTTTTCATGTGCTGAAGAAGGGGAAGAAAAGAGGAGGTGGGGGAAGATGAGAAGGAAAAGAGTGAACAGGTTTCTGGGATGTGAGCTTCTGGAGTCCAGGGCAGTAATGGGAATTACAGAAGGAGGTGCAGAGAGGAACTTGGTAGAACAGGGCCTTTACGGTTAGCCTGTCACTTTTATGGGGACCACGGGGCTGAGAGGACTGGCTGGTTTAGCCATCGGACACAGCAACAAGGAAACAGGGAATGCAATAACAAGCACTATCAACAACAAAAGCCAATAGACAGGGAAACAGACATTCCTAGAACAGTCATGATAGATAAAATCTTGGGTTTAACAAAATCACATATGGTAACAGAGGTTTATGGCTAGAGAGCCGTGCTGTTGTGACACCGACTGTGTTCAACAATTATCCGGTAGTAGCTGACTCATGCCTGTGCTGGTCTTAAAAATAACATTTTTCGGACATATATAGTCACTCAAGTTAAAGCACTTTTCTTAGAAAAATTGTCCCCAGAGGTTTCAGATAGGTGGTTCCATCACTTTTGTAGACCACCGGTTGTCTCTAACTTTAAGTCTAACAAGAGAAGACAGAATCTGGTGCATGCATTCAATAATTTTATTTTCCTATTTCTATCTTTTTTGTATTTTGATTCTAAAGAGAGATTTTGAAGATTTTCTGTCCATGTGCAAACTGTGCAAAGGTTAGTGCTCTCAAAATTGCTTGTGCACACAGGATCAGGGCTGTGACATAGACCACATTAAACTGCTATCTTTATTGCTATCTTGATATTGACGGTTATTTTCTCTCCACTGAACAGGAAACTACAAACAAATGATGATCACGTTTGCATGTTGTTACTAAGATTGTGATGCAATCAGTAATGCAAATTTCCATTCTCAAGATGATGAGATTGAATATACAACTGTGTTGTTGTTTTTTTGCATATATGTAGGCAATAATTTATAAATCCTTTATTTGAAGCAGCTTGTTAAATCTTCTGCTAAATAAGATATGAAACCATTCAAATACACATTACAATGACTTTATAACTTAATACTCAAGGCCTACCTCTAGCTGCAATATTGCAGTACAAGTTGGAAAACAGACAAGAACGTCTCCTAAGGACGTTCAGCCACTTGTTTTGAGCCTGCATAAATAATAATTCATGCACTCATTCTCAAGTTTTCTAAACAGTATTTTCTTAGCAGGAAATGTAATGCTACACCAATAGACAGAGCCTGGAGAGAGTCTATAAAAAGAGAGAGGATAGAAAGCATTCTCAGGTGCACCTGTGATTTCAATAAAATATTTTTCTTCTAAGTCAAGCTTTGACTGTTTGTACTCAATTAAAGTTAGATATGTGCTGTTCAAATTAACTTTGACAGACATTGCATAATGAAAACATCCAATAAACTGGAAGAGGATGTAGAATTGAGGAGTTATTTTTATCTTGCCAGGAGCCTAATTGACCCAACATACTGTCAGTGAGTATGTTTTTGTGTGTAGTGCAGCTTTTACCTGACATAGTTTAAGTGCCTCAAGGCCACTTGCATTGTATTAATGTAACTGTGCAGTGCTGCAATTTGTAATGCAAGAAGAGTTTCATTCAAAATACCTATTTTTGACCCACATAAAATGCCAAAAAAGTTCTGAAAATGGCTAATATCTTTATCTATACCATATGAATTATAACTTGTATTGTACTTTTTATTATTACTAATTATTGTACTTAATTAAATGGCACAAGTTGACATTGTAAAAGAAATGTATATATAGTACACATGTCAGTGTGGAATAAAAAAAATCATATTTCATGTCGGTTGTGAAACATGGGAAAATTGTTCTTTCTTATCAAAGTGTTCATACTTCCACCGTCTCTATGGCAAAGAAAACACTTTTATGTGAACAGCTTTTGAAAGGAAATCATGTGTCTGTGTGCGGCACACATTAGATGAAGAAAGGGAATTTAAGAAAATTCACTTTCCCACCACAGACTTGTATTTCTCTGAAAAGACTTCTGATGAAAACTTTGGCTTCTCATCTGACATGTCTACTACCGCACTGACCAATGCTTCAGGAGATTACATCCTATGATTTAAACCTATATGATGTTATGTCGATTTATCTGCTTCTGCTTGTTTGACAGCTTTCTATAGATAATGTGCAGTTATTCTCAAGCAGCAGATCTGCAACACAAGCTGGCTCTTCGCTGTATGAGCCATGCTCTGTTTGTTTTTATCTCATACGTTAAAGCTGCTTGGGGGTCTCAACACACAAACAAACTGCATCAGGGACACATGATTAATTTCTTGTGTGCAGTTTTGTTTGCATGTCACAGTGGGCCAGTGTGGTTGCGTAATCACCAAGTCACAACATTGACTGGCAATATTGGCAGACAGTTAATGATTATATTATAACCTAAGAAAACCATGGGTGATTTCTCTCTAAAATCAAGCCTCTACTCAAGTAACATAGCCAGCAAACAGAAGAGAGAAAAGAGACAAATTTGACTGAGCCTTGAACGACATAAATTATGTCAGCTCTATGGGTGTTTTTCTGTTCTGCTTGAACCATTTCAATCCAAAAAACATATGGTGTCTATCCACTTTAGACATGGGATTCGTATTTAGATGTATCAGATTTAAACCAGTATAATAATAAGAGGATGGGAATTTTCCTCTTTTACCCCCATTTCATTTTGTTGAAGAATGAAGTTTTCCCAACAAAACAGTTAGGCCTGATTTTTTGCGAGAAAATTGATACCAGTAGCTAAAAGCTTTCCTGTCTTTAGTTATGCTATACATCAGGCCTTTGAAGAGGATCTGTCAAAAATGAGGAAATTGTATAAACCCACTTGTAATTATTAAATTAAACAACATGTTAAGAC